TAAATGTTTATTTACTTATTTTGAGAGACAGACAGAGAATGTGCACACTCAGGAGCCCAAGCATCGAGGTGGGGCAGAGACTGAGGGGGAGAGAGAGAGAGAATCCCAAGCAGACTCCACGTTAACAGTGCAGAGGCCAACACAGGGCTCGATCTCACAACCACAAGATCATGACCTGAGCCAACATCAACAGTCGGATGCTCACCAGACTGAGCCACCTAGGTGCCCCAGAGATAGGCTAAATATCCATTCATTAATAAGGAAGTTAAGTTTCACTTCTATATAGTAATGGAATATGTGACCATTATAAAAAATGAATTTAGGTCTATGTGTCCTGATGGTTTAACAAAGTATATTTAAAGCATTTGGCTTGGTTTGATGTCATGTCTTATGCACATTTTGTTAGAATACTTTTAATATCTACTGAATTGCAAAAGGAAGTTCCCTGCTACACTGGCAGTCTACTTCATTACCAACAAAATTGCTAGTTATTAGATTTTTGGTTTTGTTTCCCAGTGCATGAGTGCTCCAATGTTGGACCCTCAGCTTCATCTGAATATTGCCAAGAGGTTTCATGTGGCAACATGTCTCATATTCTATATAAACATTTCATGACCCCTGTGCTATAAACCAAGATGCTGATAATGCAATGAATCGTTTTCATAAAGGTACTTTGCTTGCATGCCATTATCCTGCCTTTTTAGAGAATATATGTCAACATGCACCACACCAAATTTTTCAACAGTGCTTTCATGTTATATAATTGATGACAATTCAGTTTACAAAGTAGGACTATTTTCTGCATTCCCACCCCCTTTTACTTCTGTGTATAAAATTTTAATGTGACTAATTACTTTGGATAGTATATAATAGCCTGGAGTTAGGTGACTTTTTAAAAGTGTTTATTTTGAGAGAGAGAGCGAGCGACCATGCACACATGAGTGGGGGAGGGGCAAAGAGAGAGAGGGAAAGAGACAATCCCAAGGAGGCTCCGTGCTGTCAGTGCAGAGCTCGATGCTAGAGATCCTAGAGATCATGATCTGAGCCGAAATCAAGAGCTGGATGCTTCATGGACTGGGCCACCCAGGTGCCCTTAGAGTTCAATAATTTTTATCAAGCACAAAATACTGCCCTTGAAACTTAGTTTTTCCGTGGTCTTTCTAAGCATGAGAAAAAGGGTAATCAGCTTATATAATATTATATATCTAGAAAAATTTTAAGGAGTCTTCTCATTGTATAATTTTGTGAGTTATTTAGTACCTTGGTGTGGCATTTAAAAAAAGCAAAAAAAAAAAAAAAAAAAAAAAAAAAAAAAAAACACAAAAAAACTAGTGTTACATATATGCAATTTTTAAGACTTCCAAATATTACAAATTACTACCTAACCATTATGTAACAATTGAAAACTACAGCAATAATAGGAAATTAGATCAACCATGACCATTTCACTTAGCTATGAAATCCTTCAAGAGCCTTCTTCACTCTTTGATCCTGATTTCCCTCCCTCCCATCCACTCTTGAATTCATTGTAGCAATTTTCCCTCTCCCTCCTCCAGAATTGTTTTTTCAAGGTTACCACCGATTTTCACTTTACTAAATCTAAACATAATTTCATACATCTCATTTGACTTAACCTTTCAGCAATATTTGACCCAATGGAAAACTCTCTCCTCCCAAATTCTGTCTCCATGTTGCTTGTAGGATATCACTCACTTACCTGATTTTGCCGCTGCCTTTCTAGTCTGTACACCTCAGCCTGATTTGCTTGTTTCTCCTCGTCCCCCACCTTTTAACCCATTGATGTCTTCCAGGAATTGGCCTTTGATTTTCCTTCTCTTGACTTTTACTATCTTGTATATTCTAATGATCCTCAAGTTTATATCTCCAGCCCGGATCTCTCTCCATAATTCCAGGCCCGCATATCAAACTGCCTACTTGATACCTCTTTCTGGATAGCTATTGCAAACTTAACATGTCCCAAATTGAACTCCTGATATTCTTTCTTAATATTTGCCTTTCATGTCTTTCCTAATTGGTTCAATAACAGTTCTATGAGTTGCTCTGCTAAAAAACTTGGTATCATCCTTGAGTCCTGTCTTTTTCTTTTTCTTTTTCTTTTTTTTCTCTTTCTCTTTCTCTTTCTCTTTCTCTTTCTCTTTTTCTTTTTCTTTTTCTTTCTCTTTTTCTTTCTCTTTTCTTTTTCTTTTTCATACACATCACATCTCATCTGTCAGCGAATCTTGTCCGGTCTTCCTTCAAATATATCCAGAATCCAAACACATCTTCCATGACCAAGAGACTATCATCTGTTGTTTATATTGGAGTGCTAGGTAACTAACTGGTCTTCTTGTTTGTTTGTTTCTTCTCTTGTTTTTCCTGTTTCCGTTAATTCTAAACACATTGGATATAGTAAAACGTAAGTCAGATTGTGTCCTTCCTCTGCTCAAAGCCTAATAGCCTCCCATTTCACTCAGAGTACATGCCAAAACGCTTCCTAATGCCAACAAGGCCTATATATGATCAGGTGTCTCCTCCTCTCTCTCTCTGATTTGAACTCTTTTCTACCCCTTTCATTCTGTCCAGCCATACTGAATTTCTCACTACTCTTTCAGCACTTCGGACATACTTCTGTACTTGCTGTTGACTCTATCTGGAATGCTTTCCCTCAGATACCTCATGGCTTGCTTTTTCCTTTTTTGTTTGTTTTTTTCTTTCAGGTTTGTGCTTAAGTCACTTTCTCAGCAAGGCCTTTCTTGGCCATCCTGACTAGTACTTCAACTACCCTTTTCCCTATAACACCTCAAAATGTGATTTCTCTGCTTTAGTTTTTCTCCTCTAATACTGTGTGTTTGGCCTGTGTAGCTTATTGTTATTGTAGGTTTACTTCACTCATGAGTAGGATTGTTATCTGTTCATTGCCATGTCCTCAGTGCCTAGAAAATGTTCTAGTCTATATAGTACTTATTCAGTAATGTTTATTGAGTGAACGGAGTTTAACCTGTGTGTATTGTTTTTAACATAATACTAGTCCTCACTTTTACAAAGTTTGGCGTGGGCTCATTCTGACAACTAAACCTGCCAGTTATATACATTTTTTGGATTTTGGGGAGCCCAATATTGTGTTTGCTACTTATTCTTTTAGTTGTATTTATATTAGTTTTAATTATGGTGAAATGTATCAAAGGAATAGCAAACTTCCTTTATATTTATTAAGAAAACTAAAATAGGGTGGCAAATTATTATACGACTTTAAAGATTCTTGCCAAAGGATTATGAGCCCTCAAGATCTGAAATAAAAAGATGAAGTTGGAATTTATCGCTTACAAATAAGAGCGAGCTATGCTGGTTAGGTATAGTCTTCTCTAACAGAGGAATCTGCTATTCTTATACAGGGTTTGGGGAAGAGTGGAGTTTAAGGATTGGGGGACTTTCAGAAAATTAAATGGTTTGTCATCATTTGAAGCACCATGCTTGTTCGGGTGCTTGGAGACTGTTGTGGATTGGTTGGCACGCTGAAGCATGTGTATTGGAGTGGTTTTTGTCCTTTATTGGCTGTCTTTCAGAAGGAAGAAGCTGAAATGGATTGGTTGGTGAGTAGGGCTGGTGGGCATTGATTAACACGTTTAAAACTGATTCTGGTGGCTTCTTGTTACCATGGCTACGTGTTAGGGGGTTTTTGTTTTGTTCTGTTTTGGTTTGTTTTGTTGTGTTTTGTTCTGTTTTGTTTTGTTGTGTTTTGTTTTGGTTTGTTTTGTTTTTTCTAAGTTTGAGGTGGCTTTCACCAGATGTTTTCTACTTAAAAGTTGCTTCTATTGACTGGGTTCAAAATGAAAGCTATTTGAAATTCTATAATTACAGATTCATTTTTGAAGTTTGGGTCGAGAGGAATTGTTTGATAATAGCTTTCAGAAAGATTCTTCTTTTCTTGGATGTTATTTCAACAAGAAAACTTATCTGTATAACAGTTTTTTGAAAAAAAAAACCACAATTGCTAGTTTTGTTTTTCTTTTTGGTGCTCTTCGGGGCTCATGTTTAAGTCCGAAATAATCTGTGGGAAATTTCCTTCTTTTTGGAAATGTGCATAGCTGTATGGTAATAATATTCTGTTGCATGCATTTAGTCCATGAAAAAAGAATTATAATTTTCTTTTTGGTGAATCTCCCAGTATTTTCTATCAGGACTAGATATTAGGCTAAAAGTATACAAAAGTTACCAAATCATTTTTAAAAAAATTTTTTAAACGTTTATTCATTTGGAGAGACAAAAAGTGAGAGTTGGGGA